CTATATTCTATATTCTATATTCTATACTCTATACTCTATATTCTATATTCTATATCTATATCTATATCTATATCTATATCTATATCTATATCTATTTTGTTACATTATTGTATATGTTATATTATATGCCGGCTCTACAAACTCAAAACCACAGCACGTCCTTCAGCCTGACAAACACAGTATTACAGGGATCGGAAGCATGAGTAAACGTCTCCTCTTAGAGAACCTGTATAGTTCTAGTATATCCCAGTATATTCTAGTATGAATATGATGTACGTCTTTTTCTTTCAAGGCCCCCTATGTTAAATCCCTAGATGTGCTTTCGAGCCTCGGGGTTGAAGCCCTAGCCCCTGCCAGGACCTACGGGCGATGCTGCTAAGACAGCGCCATGGGTGCACTTGGACTTCTCGGGCTCAGCCGTTTCCTTCGACATTCTGCAAGTTTTGCCTGTCTATAGGCATGCACTGTTTACATAATTAGTACTACTGCTAACTACTACTAACTACTACTACCACCACCACCGCCACCACCACTACTACTGCTACTGCGACTGCGACTGCCGCTGCCACTGCTACTGCTGCTGCTACGGCTACTACTACTTACACTTACTACTACTACTCCTGCTGCTGCTGCTGCTACTACTACTACTACTACTACTACTACTTCTACTTCTACTTCTACTTCTACTTCTACTTCTACTCCTACTCCTGCTCCTGCTCCTGCTCCTGCTCCTGCTCCTGCTCCTGCTCCTGCTCATGCTGACGACTACGGCGACCACAACACAAAACCACGACCACGCCCACTCCTACTCCCAGTGCCACTACCCTTGCCATGACGACGAGAAGGACAAGGAAGACGACGAAAACAACGAAGACGACTACAACGAGTCCTGCTACTACGACGAGTCCACGACCGCTCACGCCGCTACTTCTCTCCTACCTCGATGATGGCAGCTACTACCAACACTGCACTTCATGCTTTTTTGGGAAAGCTGGAGCCCCCCAACACCCTCTAAAACCTTGACCAAACCCTCTCAGCTCTGAGGTGCGGCATCTCGGCTCCCGCACCGCGCCGATCACCCCCGCGCCACTCCCGGCCGCGGCCGCCGCCAAGGGCGCCAGCAAAGCGCGCGCCGGAGGCGGGATTAGGGCAGGCTTCATGCTCTTCGGGGTGAGAGGTGTTCAGAGGGCCTGAGGCATTTTAGAGCTTGGGTCTTTGTGGTTTTAGGGTTTTTTAGGGGTGCTTCTTGTTTCTGTCCTGGTTGAGTCGCTGCAAACCAGATGCAAAAGGGTTTTTTAGGGCTCGAGGACAGGCTGTCAAGGCCTGAAGTCTTTGGCCCTGAGAAACACCCAAAGAGTGCATGCCTGAAGCCTCGGCACCTCCGTAGAGTATTTGCCTCTGGAACCTATTCCTCCCATCGTCAACAGTTGATCACACTTGACTGCTGCCTTCGCTCTCCCACCAGTCCTCACATGTCCTCATCTCTAGTAGCGACCGAGGAGTGCTTGCATGAAGACAACTGGAGTGTGCAACAACCCACCCTCCCTAAACCCTAAACCCTGGACCCTATCAGATTCTAGCAGGATGGAAAAGTCGTCGTTCAAAAAAAAGGCACCCCTAAACCCTGTAGCTCCACGGCCCAGCCCTGCTAAGCCCAAAGACTGGAACTCCACACTAAACCCCTACATACTACATAAAGTCCTGGAGGCCTGAGCCCTAAACTCAGAGTGAAGGAGAGTCCTGCCAGCTGGGCAGAGAAGCTCAAGAAGCTCAAGAGCTACAGCCTCGAAGGGATCTTTCGGGTTTAGGGTGTCTTTTTCCTATTTTTTACAGGGTCCGACATGGGAGGTTTCCACAGGAAGGGTTAGATAGTCTGGATTTGGGGTTTAGGGTTTAAGGGTTAGGGTTGAGGGCTCGGGGCTCAGAAAGGGCCTTGAGAGTTAATGTCTTAGCTTCGCGCCGTCGGGTTTGCTTTGGATGTTGCCAGATCAGACTTCATCCGGGTACTGAGGCCTGAGTCGCAAAGGAGGCAATGTGCGCGCTCCAACCCGAAATCTCTGACCCGATCCCACAAACACTTCAAATCAAAGGCAACCCAAACCCCCTAAGCACTGCAAAGACCCGAAACGCTAAACAGCGCTCCGAACTAGGGCCTGCACTTTCGCCCGTGCAGGCGCAAACCTCCCAATCATTTAGAACTGATCAAATCAGTCTCTTCGCTTTGTACATGGAAATGCTAATGTAGGGGCCCATGTAGTTACCTATACTATTTTGGGGGTTCCTTATTATAAAACTATAGTATAATGGGCCCCAAAACCCTATGCTAACTATTAACACCCTTGTTATCAGTGCGACTTTGAGCCATGTCCGCAAAGCCGCTCCGAGGCAACGTCAACTCGCGGCTCGACTCAAAGTGAAGCCTCTGCCTGCGAGGAAAAAAGGGAACAGCCCGAGACCTGGCAGGAGTTTCAGGCTTCGGGGCCTTGGGGCTCGAGGACTCTGGGATTTGGGACTTGGCTGCTGCCGGCATCGGCAGCAAAGTTGGGCCTAAACCCTAAACCCTAAACCCTAAAACCCTAAACCCTAAACCCTAAACCCCATGGGTTACGCAAAAGTCTGGCATCCCAATCCCAGCTTCTGTGGGTCCTTGGCAGAGGCCTTTACCTGTAATGCCTCTACATGCCAGCTCCACACGGCGTAGGACGTGAACCGCCCTTACTAATTCGTGGTCCGGGGCAGACGATGTGCTGAACATGTCGGAAAAGGCACTTTCCATTGACGTGGCTGTGAATGCTAGCGGCCAGTGTGATCTGCTGGTGGAGGTACAACATGCGGTACATCCACGAGTGGGAGCCCTGGGACAAGATCCGGGGGCTGAGCAGGATAAAGCTATGTTGATGCTTTGTTGCTGTTCATGCTGACGTAAGCTGTAGGCTGCAGCCACTGCTGTTGTTCTTTCGATTGCCATGCCTTAAGCTAGCACTCTGGTTGAAGTTATGGCTTCTGTTGTTTATTCGCAGCCCGGCTAGCCTTAAAATGGCCGCTCCGTTGCTATTGCGGTTGCTACACCCCGAAATCCCACCACCCTTCTCACCAATCTCGCACGCCGTTCCCAGTTTGGGGGCCGTGTATGCCAGCGAAGGGCAGTGGGAGAAGGCCGGAAGCGGGTCCCGATGCTTGAAGTGAGCGCTTCGGAACCTGACAGGGTATGATGATGATCGTGCGGATGACGGTGAAGTTGGTGAGGATGATGATGGTGATGAAGTGGGCGCAGCTGCGCGAAGTGGCCAGAGTGTCGGCGAGTGCGATGCCATTTGTTGGTTTGTATCAATGCGATCGTTTTACAAAGGTTTCTTCTTTCGTCGACAAAATAAAAACTGCTGCTCCTTGCTGCTCCTGCTGCGGCGACTGCCCTCTAATTCATGCTGCCCTCTACGGCTGCTCTCGATGCCGTCCTCGTTGTTTCTAGCTCCCGGGCAGCTTTATGGACCCCAGAGCCCAGACCCCCAAGCCCCGGCACCAGACGTAAACTCCAAAAGCCACGTTGCAGCTCTGCAGCCGGGTCGTTTGGTGTTCAGGGGAGTTAGGACTGCCGGGCTTCTTGGTTTAGAGTTTGAAAGGGCGTATGGTTTCGGGGTTTTTGAACCAACAAGCCTGCTGAAAAAGGGTCAAGAAGCTCTAGCTTGGACAGCATAATGCGTCAGATTGCAATAGCAGTACAGTAGCCTCGTAGACGTTTTGTCAGGCTTACTCCTAGCTAGGGTTTGAGGCTCGCAACTTATTGTCATCCTTACATTGGGGCATAGGATGCAGGCTTTAGCTGTTTAGGGTTTAGGGTTAGTTTGACAAAAATAGGCTAGTTTGAAATCCTCACGGGTAGCATCAATCGGCAGCCCAACACCTACTACGCCAAGCTCCGGCACAGGCGGCAAACGTCATGCTTAGAGGCCGTGGGCTTAGCGTCCCCGGAGCTCAGGGCAGCTGCTTCTAGTACTGCATGCAATATCGGGGCCTAAATGCTTCCCAAAACTGTTTTAGGGTTCCTTCTTATAATTATAGCAAAATATACCCCGAAACCCAATTCTAATTATTACGGCCCCAATATTTGATTTTCCGATTCGGATGCCCCTCTCGGATGGTTTTCGCCGGATTCCATAGGTACATAGGTTCCGACCGACCGGAGGAACGGAGAAACAAAGGTTTGCCGTTTCGGGTTCTTGGGATTAATTGCTTTCGGGATAAGACGGAGGACAGCATCGTTTTCCCTGTCTTGAGCCAGAGGCAAGTGCCAGGAATCCTAGGGTGCTGCGAGGAAAAGGTGAACAAGTATAAGCAGCCATAGGCACAAGAGGATAAGTAATACTGGCGGAAATCGGTCATAACTAGAGTCATGTGTGGTACTACTTCTCAGATGTTGGGCATCATTGTTATGATTGCTGGTGGTCGTAGCTCGGTGCCACGACAGAAGCAATTCACTTAGCACACTGGCTTGCTCTGTGGTCCGGGTGTGAGCATTGAGATCCTCAGGTTTTAGGGTCGTGGCTAGAATTGGCACCGAAACAGTAGTTCAGTAGCAGATGCTCTGCGTGCTAGTTCACGCCCTGAATGCTAAGGTTGGAAGAGAGCGAGCGAGATCCCGGACGATCATGTCCGCTTCCGCTTCCTTATGAAGCTGCGACGGTCTCAGGGTTTGGGCCACGAGCCGTCTCTGCATTGCCCTGCGCTGCCATTTCCAAACCGGAGGTCCGGGCCCTGCACCCTAAACCCGGACTCTTACTGCCATGCAGCCCCAACCCCACCTGGACGCAGAAAATGAACAAAGTCCGACAGAGCCGGTTGACACCTGCAATATTCCGAACCGTCATCACTAAATCACTTCATCGCCGAAACCCGAAACCCTCAAAACAAAAACCAAAACCGAAACCACAACAAAAAAAAACCTAAACCCGAAACCTTCAACAAATCCTAAACCCTAAACCCCACACCCTCAAAAAACCAAAAACCCGACACGTGGAGCCTTGTCGGCCTTGTGCGAGTGTGAGAGTCGAAACCCGAAACCCTCAAAAAACCCTAAACCCGAAATCCTCAAAAAACCCTAAACCCGAAACCCTCAAAAAACCCTAAACCCGAAACCCTGAAAAAACCCTAAACCCGACACCCCCAAAAAACCCTAAACCCGAAACCCTCAAAAAACCCTAAGCCTTCAACAAAATAAGCACCAACAACGCCTTCTGAAGCCTTGCATCGAACCTCCCAGGAGCGAGGCCTCCTTCCGGATCAGCAAGCCCCGTCAGGCCCATTGCGTCTTAGGGCTCGAGGGTAATTGGGTTCTAGGGCTCTAGGGCTTTAGGGTTCTGGGTTCTAGGGTTCTAGGGTTCTAGGGTTCTAGGGCTCTAGGGCTTTAGGGCTTTAGGGTTCTAGGCCCAGAACAGACAACCTAAACCGCTCTCGGCCCAACATTTCAAACCCCCAAACCCAAGTCTTACTAGCCGGAGCGAATATCTTCACTCCTTGGTTCCTTCGGAGCAGGTCCCAGTGAGGCCTCGCAGATCTTTGCAAAATTGAGGCTTCAGGATTCAGGAGTTTTGAAGGAGTCACAGCTGCAAAGGGTTTCGAAGGGTTTATTCAGGGTTCGTGTCTATGGGGTTGTTGGGGCGTCAGGGTTTCAGGGTTTCAGGGCCGAGGTTTCCGGGGTCCGGGTCCGGTGCTGGCGCGTTGCCCTCGCTGGGTAGTGGCTGTATGCTACCTGGTGTACGGTTTAGGGTTTAGGGTTTAGGGTTTAGGGTTTTTGCAAAAAGGGTACCCTTGTGCATGAAACGGAAGAACCTGCAGCATTTCGGCAGAGAGATCTGTGGAGGCTTTCGCAGTTCTCAACAGCCGCAGCCTCGGATCCGCGTGTGGGTTTAAAACTAAGTAGTGGGCCACTGTACGCAACTCAGAGACTCCAATATCCCCTAATTAAGGAGTATACCTTAAATCATATTAAGGATCCTACTATAATTTAAGGTATATTCCTCAATTAAGGGATCTTGGAGTCTCTGAGAAGCATCATTGACGCATCGCTGACATAGGACGTTATGCCCATCCTGGAGGTCAACCTGAAGCCCTGGATCCGAGGAAGCCGGGAGTAAACCAAGCCTGCAAATGGGGAGTTCCGAAAATAGGGGACCCTAATATAGTACCCCAAATAGTAGGATCCTTGTTATAAGGACCCCAGAATAAGGTACCCCTTATTTTCGGAAACTCCCAAATATAAAGCCTCCCAGAGTTTCAATGATACCTCCTGAAGGGTTTCTCGCGAAGCACTCCTTCTTGAGTTTCAGTCGCATTCCTAAGTTGTGGGGTTTGGGTCTCAGGGGTAAAGCTGTCACTACCCACGCAGAGACCACATGACGGTTTCAAAGCCCGATGTAGGAGCCCATGGTGCCATAGACTTTCGGTAGGAGACGGTGGTCCAAGAAACCAAAATCTTTCCTCAGAACTGACAGCTTCGAGTTGTTCTTGGGATCCCAAGATGCTGACGCACTTTCTGAGGCATCGAGGGGCCGCCGAAAAATGACGACCTCTTGGGCTTCCAAGTCATGCGTGGGACCGAGGGCCTCCTTTGCAAGCTGGATGCGTTGTGATGACATCGGCGCTGCTGCTGTTGCTGCTGCTGCCGGTGTTGTCTTTGATATTGGTTCGATGGAATCCTGAACGAAATGTGTGCAACTTAGTGCCTTCGAGCTGTGGGAAAGTATAAACCCCGACCACCAAAAGCATACAAACTCTACCTCCGGGGCTAGGGTTTGGGGTTTGGCCTCAGCGCGGGTTAAAAAGAGAATTGGTTTTCAGGCTTTTGCATTCGCCTTTTGAAGGTGGCATCACGGGACAACACCCCAGACCCCAGACCCACTGGCTCATGTAGTTTAGTAGTTTAGGGTTTAGTAAGGAAAAAGGCGTTTAGGGTATAGGAGTTTAGGGTTGAGTCGCAAAGAGGAGTTTAGGGTTTAGGGTGTAGGGCTCAAAGGAGTTTAGGGTTTAGGGTGTAGGGCTCAGTTGAATTCAGGCGCTCGCTGAGCAGCCACAGCAAAAGGACCTGCAGTCCCTGTAAGGATTACACGACAACTATCCCTAAACCCTAAACCCTAAACCCTAAGCCCTAAATATGTCCCACCCCACTACCTGGGAAGCTCGCTGGCCTCAACACCCAACCCGCAAGCCCAGCCTTTCTGCGCGCAGAGCCCCCAAAGTCCGACACCAGGGTGGTTGTCAAAATTATGGTCCCTTTTGGGGTACCCTAAGTAATAGGTGCCGTATTATAATAAAGACCCAAAAAGGGACCCTAATTTTGACAACCACCCACCAAGAGACCCAAACGCCCTAGGCGATCGGAAACCAAGCCAATAAGCAACTTAAAGCCCCAAAACCTGAAACCATGAAGCTCAGTAAACCCCTAAGCCCTTGCGTTGCTTATCCGAGTGTGACGCCTCCAAGCTTTAAATCACTCGCTGGCTGAGGTCTGTGCAGGCACTCCGGCGGCTTCCCTAAGGGTGTTCGGAGAGGTTTAGGGTTCCTAGAAGCTTCAGAGGGTCGGGTTGAGGGCTTGGGGTTTGGGGCTCTTGTATGATGGACCCAAGTAGTTTTAGCAGAAGCTTCTTCCCAGCAACGTTAACCCGTGGGACGAGCTTTGTTTCTGGAGGGGAGGGCCAACCCTCCCCACTCCGCGGGATCATGATGGATCGGTTTGCTTCCGGGAGGTCTCTCTTTCAAGGTTACTTTCGGAGCAAGGAGAAGCTGCCTCTCTTCTGAATAGAGAGAAACTAACTTCCTCCTTAGCGAATAGTCTCGTAGCGACGATGATGACAAGGGGGCTTGACACGATGATGGTGATGGAGAAGGAGAAGAAGAATAAACATAATAGGATGATGATGATGATGATGCTGCTGATGACGAAGAAGATGATGATGAGGATCATCGTGATGATGATCATGGTTATGATTATGATGACAGTGAAGGTGATGACTCCGGTGGCGAACTTTTTGTAGCTGACTTGACGACGGCGTCGCTGCTGCTGGTTGTTATTATGATGCCGTTGATGAGGGGAAGCAGGAAGGAGATCAAGATACATCTGCTCTAGGACACGGCAGTCCGTACATTCCACAGCTGCGTCCAGGCGGTGCTTGAGTGCTTAGGCTCACCCCCGTTCCCTTGCCCAGATCTTCTGCGCAGTTGGCGACGTGCAGAAGGCGCCCCGGACTTCAGCTTTCCCGCCTCCGGGGCCGAAAGGCTAACCCCAAAAACCTCGGACCCAGGACATCTCATGACCTTTGGCCTGAGTCGTTTTGTGGCATCGCATCGCTTATGTTGCAGCTGCCGGTTTCAAATAGCTTCGAGCCAGGCGGGCTGTTCGTATCAAGTTGTGGGAGCAACGGTGCATGAGGGTGCAGGGCAAGAAGTCCGCCAACTCTGGAGGTTTCCCAATGTTTTCGGGCGACGAAGCTTACGTACCACCCCTACGCCCGAGCTTAGGGCTTGTCCCCATCGTGCGTAGTAAGGATTTCGGAGTAGATCCTTCTCACGGCGCTGGGATGGCTTTCCTGCGCCGGCATCTGCCAAGCCTTGCGCGTGCTGCACGCGGCGCGGCCGATGGTGGAAGCGGCTGATCATCATTAGCTGGGGAGGCTAAGTTTTACAGATGGGCCCGACAGATATGCCCTTGGCTGGTAACCAAGCTTGAACCCCCTTGACCCCAAGCCGTGGGCCAGTAGCCACTGTCGAGTCGAGTATTTGTTGGTCTGCACGGCTCCGGACCTGGCTACTCGCAGCTTCGCATTTCGTCGATCCGCGAGAGTCGTAACCGGATGCACTCATGTACTTGTGGCACGCCCTGGACTCTGACACCCATGGAGCATTCGAGTTGCGGGAGTCCGAACCAAAATGAACACCCTCGTCCTGGTGTGCAGGGCCGCGCATCCTACGGTCGGAGGTGTCGGACATCACCTTCCACTTCGCGGTGACCGGTCGGGAGTCAGAGCTTTGGGGATTTCGGGCTTAAATTTAGGAATTAGGGAGAATTTGGGGTGTGTATGCTCAGAAGCTGGAAGCACTGTCACGAGTACAGTGTTAGCTGGCAGACGAGTGGCTAACTACCAGGCGTTCTTGTTTGCAAGCCCTGCGCGGTGGGTGCGGTTTGTACTTTAGGAATAGGGGCACACCCACTTGTCGCGGGCTTGCGTCAGCATGTAGTCCCGCCCCAACCACAACCACTATTCTCAATTAGGGTTCAGGGTTCACCCACCAAACCCCCCTCAAGGGGGCTTTCTTGCTCTCGGCTTCCCCTCACAATTCGACATACAAGCGACCACACGTCACAGCAAACCACAGCTGAGCTGGATTGGTGTCGCGTTGTGGGTCCTCGCGGCCTGTCAAACAACCCACCCCTCGCACCCTGCAAGGGATAATGTAAGAACCTGATTAAGAAACCCTGGGCCTTTATTGGGGTTCCTTATATGAATCCTATTATTTTGGGGTTATAGGGCCAGGGTTTCTTAATCAGGTCCCTACATTACTCGAAGTGGAAAAACCCGCCAGAAGCACCCTAAACCCTAAATCCTAAACCCTAAACCCGACACCCTAAACCCTAAACCCTAAACCCTAAAAATGGGAGCAACAGTACCCCCAAAGCCCTAGAGGTCGCCATCTAGGACCGGGCGGATCCTTGAAATTGGCCAGGTCGCCCCCTACCCAGAGACTCCAATATCCCTTAATTAAGGAATATAATACCTTAAACATCATATTAAGGATCCTACTATAATTTAAGGTATGTACCTTAACTAAGGGATATTGGAGTCTCTGGGTACCCTGTGAATGAAAATGCGCGAGCAAGCGTAAGAAGGCCTCATCAAGCAGTGCACATAGAGATCACCGGGTTGACTTCCAGATCCCAAAAGCTCACAAACCCTCCTCTAAGCCTTTGAACCGTCAGCCGTCAGCCCTGCAATATGCCTCAGGGAGCAAATCTGAAAGCACGTGACGTCTTATCGAGGATTCTATCAGGGCGTGCAGTGGGGTGTTTGGGCAGTACTGGGCTTCTGATTCATATCTGCACGACGAATTTGGACCCTTCTGTCTCGAATCCGATCTCCCTCCAGCCGAGGTTGAAGAGTACCTCATGAATGCGGAGAAGTTGACTGCTCCGCTGATGTCGCTTAGCAGAGAACCTTGTGAGAGCTTTCGGATGAATAGGGTCGAATAGAGATGATGACAGCAACGGGTCAGACCCCGAAGACTACAGGTTCAGCCAGCAAAATCTTTACCCTGAGACCCATGCCCCAAGTATATACATGTTGTGACGGCCTTCGACTGAGGTACCTTTGGAGACCACAGCCGGTGGTCACCATCGGACGGCACCAGATTCCCAGCAGCACTCGAGCTGTTCGGGCCTTGCGAGGTACGGATGAGGGTTCGTGAAGGAGCCGGAGGGTTCAGTCCCTCCCTATGGGAGTTTCCGAAAATTAGGGGTACCTTAGTTTGGGGTCCTTATATCAAGAATCCTATTATTTTGGGTTCTATATTAGGGTCCCCTACATTCGGAAACCCCCCTATAGACTTGTTGGGATCTGCGTGAGCTGCGTTTGCTGCACATCGGAGACGCCCGACAGTGAACGCCTCAAGCCAGTCCTAATCCCTCAACACCGAAAGCCCCAACTAAACCCCAAACCCTATACTTGGTGACATGAGCTGAGTACACTGGTTCACTCGTTGAGACCAGTATCGCTACAGACCTTGCCAGGCTTGTCCGAGTGTGATTGTCAAAAGCCCCCAGACCCGCCCTAAACCAGGCCCCTACATTAGTCTGATCCGGCCCTTTGCTCAGGAATCCTTGGAAAGAGTGTGTTCTCTCGCAGCTGGATGAGGATCCATCTAGGTAGCCTTTCAGGTATTAGGGTGAAGGGATCCTTCAATCTGGGGCGCCTCTCTTGAAGAAGGGCGCCCAATGTAGAGACTTTCTCCACTCGGACACGGCTAGAGCTCTGGGCTGCCGACTCGTTTTGTGTACCGGAGCCTCCTACGATCTTCATCGAAAACAGGTTCTTCTGACAGTAGCAGGACCGTAGGACCCATGGGCCCCTTATTAAATCAGGGTGAGTTTAGTGGTCGTAGGCTTGCTTCATGATTCAGAATGGATCCCTGAAGCAAGGGGTGGTGAAGCTCTGCGAGCTTATTGCGCCACCATGTTTTCGTGAAGGGCCCAGGGCTTTGGAGGAAGTATGATATTAACTACCAGGCTGTGGTATAATTCGAGTTGTCGGACCTCGAAATTAGGGACCTTAAAAATTCGAACTTGGTGTTGGGGTATGCTCTACTGTAACGATAAGAGGAGCCCTGAAGAGTATTCTATGTGATATCTATATCTCTGCAGGACGGTGTCGCCTTGGTTCGCCGGCGATCGGGGGGCGGCGCCATCTTCCAGGATCGGTCTTCAAGACATGTAGAAGGTCTACTGGATGCGTGGTTACGACGAACTTATCCTTCTTTGCTATTTTCGTGAGTTTAGTTCGGTTCTTAGTGGTAACCGCTCTTGTTGTTCCTGAGGTGATGGCAGAGATGATGACAATGCTGACCCGGATGCTGTTAAGATGGTGGTCGTAACAATGTTACTGTTCGTGGTGATAACAGCAGGAACCATGATGATGATGACGACTCTGGCTACTACGATTGTCATGCTTTGTTATACATACATACATACATACATGCATACATACATACATACATACATACATACATACATACATACATACATACATAAACACATACATGTATTTGTGCAGTGTGTATTCTTGTGTGTACGTGCAACGTGCCTTAGAACATATGTACCTGTAATTGCATAGACTCGGTCTTGGAGCCCTAAACCCTAAACCCTAAACCCTAAACCCTAAACTCCGAATGGCCAGATTCAGTGTGTTCGACTTGTTTTCTGACCGGTTTCGACTTTTAGCTGCCGCGCCTCAGCGACCCCTACACGACTCTGGACCCTGAGCCCTTCAGCTCCAAAGCCTACCTTTGGTTTAGGGTTATATACCCTAAACCCTAAACTTAATCAGTACGGATGCACCAAAAAATAACCCCTAAATACTAGAGAAGAAACAGCGCAGGATGCTGGCTGCTCAGTTTTCACCTTCTTGTTCCCATCGGGAGAATTCGACATCGACCGTGGCCCGGCGCACGTTTGAACATCTTCGAGGTTTCGGGGTTTGGGGGCTGGACAGCTAGGGCCTAGGGTTTAGGGTTTCCGAGTTTAGGGTTGGAGTTTCCGGGTTTAGGGTTTAGGGTTTAGAGTTTCCGGTCCGCCACGTTGCGAGTGCTTGAGAGAGAGAGGGTTCCGCCACGAGGGCTGAAGCTTCGAGCGGCATGTGCACTGCAGGCCCTCCTCAAAACGAGGGGTCGAGGGCGTTGGGTTTAGGGTCGGAGTCTGGGGTTTAGGCGTTGGGGGTGGGGCTTCGGGGTTTAGGGATTTAGGGCCGAAGTCAGTGTTCAGGCGATTGCACAAGTCCGGATGCAAAAAAGGGATTTACTGTAGGGCCGAGCATTCTGGGCTCATTTATATACAGTAGGGTTGACGGCATTATATATTTTTTAGAGAATCCAGCGCTGAAAAACAAGAAGCACGCTGTTCGTAAGGCATCCCCTCTCAAGACAGGGTTTAGTTCCTCAAAAAAGGTTTTAGGGACTAGATTTAGATTCAGTGGCCTATCCTGCAGGAAACCTGTGCAATGTGCGAGAGGGAAAAACCGTTGTAACAACTTGCTATAACTTCGGAGCTGCCAACTGGCAGGTCTTGTCGGTGTCAGCAGTCCATCCCATAAGCCCTACGCCTAAACCCAGCGAACCCTTCGTGTGTCGTGCCTTGTCAGAGTCTGCCAAGGCATGTGCAAGCAGAAAATCTAGCAACCCTGAACCCGAAACCCTCTGGCGGACGGAAGAGGGACGTCTAGTAAGAAAACACCCTTGCAATAGGCTTCCGTATCCGTATGCACGTGCAGACGGAAAAGAGCTTTCGAACAGAAACCTGAGCCCGAAACCACAACTTCTGAACTTTGAGGCAACCTCGAAACGGTTCTGGGGGCTTTAGGCCGCCTGGGTGTCCAGGCTGTCTCCCGGTGGCAGTGGATCTAACTTTATAGTTTCATGCGGGTGGACAAGCCTTTTTGCTGCTGAGGGTTTGGGGTGTCAGGGTTTAGGAAGTTTAGGGTTTTGGGGTGTCAGGGTTTAAGTTCAGGGTTTGGGCTGCGTTTGGGGTTTTTGGCGATTCTATGCTTGCCTGCTTTTCGATTTTCGTGCTAACCTTGAGAGTTTATTGTCGATGTTCTCCGGGTTCAGGCTGACGTGCATCCAGAACCGTGCTGCAGGGAATTCCGCATACCCTGGTGACCTCCCAGCATACGTATTATCTGCATGCAAATCTTATACTAGGAGTGAGTTGAGGGCATGTGACACGAGGACTTCTGTATCTGCAAAGCTTTAGCTATCATACCCTAAACCCTAATTAAACCCTAAACCCCGAACCCTAATTAAGCCCCAGACCCTAAACCCTAATTAAACCCTAAACCCCAAACCCTAATAAAGCCCCAGACCCTAAACCCTAAACCCTCAAGCATCTCAAAGGGTAGGGTAGTTGAGTCGCTGGAGGCCCTTGTATTGTTCAGTTCTAGGCCTGCTTGGTCGTTTTTTCCAATCTAGAGCATGCTCTGGTTCGGTGTGCCTCTGGAGTTTCGAAAAGGATTCAGTGCCAACCGAAAAAAATCACGACACTCTAGTTCCTAAAACCCTGAACCCTAACCCTAAATGCTTATTTACAGCTCGCAAGGAGAAGAAGGGCCGCAATGATCTCACCTTTGAAGACAAGAAGATCTCCGGTAGCGCTTTTAAGCACCACTGCAGCAACCGGCCTTGGGATGGAAAGCCTTGGGCTTCGAATAGGAATAAAACCCTAAATCCTGAATCGCTTTGGGGTTTAGTGGCTGAGGTTCAATTCTCTGGGAAGTTGACCTTGTCTGCTGCTTTGGGCTCAGGGTCGGGTGAGGGTTCTGGGATTAACCGAGTCTGGATCCTGGGATGAAGCAGCAGCTCTCTTTTTCATTGAGTTGTGTCTTTTCTTGCCCAATAATCATGGGGAAGCCTTAAAACTCTCTGAGTTCCAACGGCTGCGGCGGGGAAGGACCGTGGCTAAATCCAGCAAGTACACGCCACGAAGCAGCCACACGACTTGCACGTATGATACTGTCAAAAGCCCTCTGAGACTCTAGCGTGCTGCCATGTCCCTCTCTGATTCAGGATCTAATGTAGGGTCTTAATAATTAGAATAGGGTTTCGGGGCCCATTATAATATAACTATAGCAAGGAACCCCCAAAATAGTATATATAATTATTTAGGCCCCCATATTAGGGTTGGCCCTTGCCCTCTTGGAGCGCCTTGAGGCACGCACCGGATCGCGGGGTGTCCCTGCACCACGGCACTGTTCTGGTGGACACCGACCTCACTGCCCTCCAGCTACCCGGTGCCCAGAGTGTAAGAGACACAGGGAGAGAGAGACTAAAGGACAGGAAGGGTGGTCTGTGTTCGCTCCAACGGTATCTGAAGCTGGCTCTACAGCTTTATTGATCATCCTCGTACGGTGTGTGATCGGTATTCTGGTTACGTTCGGGCACCCGAGGAGATACCTGACGCCGGACAAGCGCAAGCTGCAAGCCAAGGGCAGCGACCTCAGCCGAAGAGCTAGGGAGGAAGTTCTCGAGTTGGGTTCAGATATACCGTGGCCGCCATACCTTCGGTAACTGCGAATAAAGGCGATGAGGAATCAGCAACAATGCCACCAGTGTGGACAACACACCAGCAAAACACACGTCATGGTAAATGTCACAAAAATTGGCATAAGGAAAGAAGCGCCAGAAAACAACTTGCACTAACGGAGCCGTAAATCGCCGTGTTAGAGTGGTTGTGGCTGTGGCCCGACTGGACGTTATTGTGGGTGCTGACATGAACTCACTGGTTGTTGACGCCGTCGAACTGGAATTTGCTCCAGGGCCCGACATGGATTTGCTGATACTTGTGTATACTGACAGGTTTAGTGTTTCGAACTTGTGGATGTTGTCCTTACGACACCACTTCGCCACTGTATGAAAACAGGACTGTGCGCAAAACAGCGGGTGAAAGAACCTGTGGTGCAAGCAACAGAAACAATAAATCCCTGTGCACTATCCCGGATTCTTTTGTAATTTCGGAACCTTCCGCCCTAAATTTCCCAAACCTTTATATGAAAGGCACGAAGCCGTCCAACCCCAGGAATCGCCAGCGTTGGCGCCCGAGTCATGAACCTCAAGGACAAGTTCCCGGAGGCCATCGAAACCCAAGAGACAGCACAGGAGCATTCGGTCTGCGCATCTTTGCCATGATTTTACCTTGCAAAAATTGCACAAACAGTGTGCAACACTTATGGCTTTTCTGGTGAGGCACGCCCGGTAGTTGCTCCTTCCTGCTTGGGCTTCGTCCGCGGGACGATGAATGTCATGGTCATATCCAAGACAGTTCCGCCGCAGCTCTATTGGTGCGGTCTGGCAATCCTGCCGTTGAGGGTTTCTGGAGTTTTCCAAACATGGCCTTCCTGCCCCCACCGCAGCGTCACGAATAATTTGAGCTGTGCGTCGGCTCACTGGTGCTCCTGCCGCAGTGCCCTGCGTGCTTTGGGTGCGACTCGTGTGGCCGCCGCCAAAACCTCGCGTTTCCGCCATAGGCAGCCGCAAGTTCTGGGACTCGCGGTGTTGTGCGACTATACTTATATATATATATGTATATGTATATATATATATAGATAGCTACAAAACTGCAAGTGCAAAGAATGACGCAAACAATAACAGCAATAGCAGGATAGCAACCATAATCGTAATAGTAGGAACCCTAAGGAAAGTGTTCGTCATTGCGTGGTCTTGGTTTCCTAGGTAGTATTAGGGAGACCCCTTAAAGGGGACCCTTCTTAAGCCTACTTATGGCGCTCTTTAAAGGGCCCTTGTGTGAGAGGGTCCATATCAGGGTGCTCCCGGCATGGTTCTTGGGTTGGGCACTGTTTGGCTGTTTGGGGACTCGGCTTGGACCTGGTTTGGGTTTAGGGCTTAGTGTTTGGGTTTTAGG